AAAATTTAAAAATGGCCGGAAAGCCGCCTGCAGCAAGTATGAATACAAGAAATAATACAAATACAAAATTAAAGGAACAGACTCTATTGAATTTTACAAAAGAAAATCAGGAGAATAAAGAATTAAACGATAAGATGAGCAGGTTGGAAAGGAAGTTGGACAGCATGATTAGTAGTCTAGAAAGAAGAGAAGAAGATTGGAAAGAGGAAAAACAGATGTGGATAAAAGAAAGGCAACAGTGGACAGAAGAAAAGAAGGCGTTAGAAGAAAGAATAAGCAAGTTGGAATGGGAAACAGAAAAAGCTGAGAGAGAGAAAAGGAGACCGAACATTGTTATAAAAGGAGCAAATATTAAAGGAGAGAATCTGGAGAAGAAGGTCAAAGAATATATTGAACAAAAGATAAAAGTAAAAGTCAAGATAGAGAAGGTTAAAGTGATGAGTGTAAACGCTGGGCAAAATGTGAGAAAGTTGGTGGTAGTAAGGCTGGCAAGTAAAGAAATAAAAGAAGAAGTAATGAGAAATAAAAAACATCTGGAGAGAGGAGTTTACATAGAAAGCGATCTAACAGAAAGAGAAAGAGAGATCCAAATAAGTATTTTAAACAAGTCAAAAGAGCAGAGGAACAAAGGAAAAAATACAAAAATTCGATATATAAAGATTTTGATCGATGGTTAATGGCTTAGATTTGATGAAAGGAAAGGAGATTTTACAGAGGAAAGAAGAAGGAGCCAAGAATGAGGAGAACAAGAAGATGTAGAGGAGGAGGGAGGGAGAAGAAGAAATGTTAGTGTTTGTGCGTGGAACATTGCGGGAGTGCTAAATAAGGACAGTGAAGTGTGGAAGTATTTGAGCGAATTTGATGTGATAATGCTAGTAGAGACATGGTTGGAAAAGGACAAGTGGGCTAATGTAGAAAGTGAGTTGTCAAAAAGTTATGAGTGGAAGTGTATAGCAGCGACTAGAGAGCATAAAAAAGGTAGAGCGAAAGGAGAAGTAATATTAGGAATAAGCAAAAAATTGGAGAGTAGAAATCATGAAGTATGAAGCGATAATAAAGTAATGCAGGAGATTAAACACGGAAATGAGAACTGGAAGATCATAGGAGTATATAGTCAAAATGTAGCAGAGACGATGGAAATTATAAAAGCTCAAATGTTTATTGTAAAAAAACAATGTTGCCATTACTTTTTTTAATTTTCGTTTATTGGAAGTTCGAGAGGAAGGTTAACACTTCATTCTTACGTGGTGTACCTTCCAAAAATGTTTTATTTTCATTCCTCACCAACGCTTTGAAAATTGAGAAACTCGCATTTTTCAGATCTTTGAGAATTTTTCGCTCGAAAGCTGTGGGGTTTAGATATATACATCTGAATTGATTTTTTGTTCAGAATGACTCAAAAAAACTAAATATATTTTTTTTAGATCGAAAAAATCACTTTTACTAATTTGCTTAAAAAAAGTTAGTTTGAACAAATTGTGACCAGGTTGCGCGGTGGCAACATTAAGTTTTCTAATCTGTGGGGTCTAATGAATAAGTTCATGCAAAAAAATTTTCTTGCCATTGATCTAGTACGACGCCGCAAATTTTGACTCGTCTATAAAGTACTGAAATATCTTACGAAACAACTATTTTAATTAGAGACTATAATTGCATCAGCAAAGACTATAAAAAACACTGCAACAAGTAGATTAAATAAAGGATCACTAAGAATTCGTCACAGATTGTTGTTAAAATTTATATTTAATATGAACTACGAGAACTAGAACTTTATTTCAAAATTGAAACTATGTGAAAAGATAAATATCAACATTAAAAGATACTGCAATTGCTATGTGTCCGTTAAAAAAAATTCTGAAATTAATGATATTCTCCAAGAAGCTGATGTCATTTTTAACGTGAAATATTATAACAAATCAGACAATTTTGAAAAAAAAAATTCGAATCACCATAAAATTTTTTTTTGTAGTATGCCCACGATAATCTCGAATTAAAAAAATTTTTTTTGATACGTACAAAAATAATATCAATGTTATTTTTTTTTAATTAACAGTTAACAAGAAGTGATGTTGATTCAGAAGTAAGCGTAAGTGGTACTGATACAACATCGTTTTAGAGTTTGTGTGCTCGATTCCTGGTTTATGCAGATAATTGAAAAAATGATTAATATCGGAAAAAGTTCCTAAGAAACCTCGACCATGTTGGAGCAGATTTTCCCGTGGAATTTTCACTGAAAGTGATTCCAGAATTTTTTTCTTACCCTACAGATCTTTGGGCCTGGGTAAATGCGTAAAAGTGTTAGGCAGTGTATGTAAGAATAAACTGTTCCAATGCCAAGAACTAGGGAGGAAGCGCCCGCACCAGCCTTACTGGCCAGAAATGGTCCCTGAAACATGGGGCTTCTTCGGGGATGCTTATTATCCTAGATCTAATGCTCCGGCAGAGTGCCAGCTTAACCGACGAGGAGTGAACGGTCCTAATACATTAAGTCTTGGTAAAATAATCTAACTGTCAAGTAAGGCCTTACTCTAGGGCTTCCAAAAGTATAACATACCCTCATTTCTCATTACTCAAGTAATAATTATAAAAAAACTATTTTTTTCTATCGATAAGCAGCAATGCTATCAAAACTCAATATAAACATCATGAAAGTCTGACATTCAATTATTATAACATAAACTAAAGGTAGTTACAACTTACCTTACATTGTACGTGTTCTAGAAATTTAACTTCATTAAGAGAGCCCGTACAACCATTGACATCCATAGACACTGTCAGAGTATAATTATAAGTATGTTCTATTTGACGGTCCTCACTTATTTCTTGTGATTTACAGATACGCTGAGCCGGTACGTTGATCCATTGTTCAGCTAAGGTAACCATGGCACCAGCATCCATTAAACCGTAACCAAACTTGTGTGATACCTGCATTTTTATATCTTGTAGTCAATATATTTGGTAGAAATAAAAGGAATTATCTTTATTCATTCTCCATTACGTCAATTTCATAGATAAAAATAACAAATATAAATGAGAGTTTTAGAAAATAATTTATGGTTCCGCCTTCCATACCATTAAAATTGAGATATAAGGTATTCATACAAAAACATACGTTGTAAAAGCTAAAACATGATAAATTCTTTTCTATATGCTTTAAAAGCAGTTTTTTTTGTAGTCGCAAAGTAAATCGTTAAATATATGTAATTATCAAGCACATGTAATTCCTAATAAAATATTACAGTGCAATAACGAAATCTTATCACACACTTTGAAAAAGTCGCACATGAACAGAGCTTATACTTGCTTTTAACGCACTTACTTTTTAGAAATGTGAAAAATATTCATGTCTACATCATAACCTCGACAAACGTTTAGTGAAATAATTTTGTTACACTTTTCGTCAAAGTTTTTAGATATTTGTTGAGAATTATATTGATATCGTAGAGCAAATATCAACTTCAATTTCACATACAATATATGATAGACGCTTCTGTGTAACACTTATCATACATATATGCATAAAATCAGTAGACAGTGGGTGCTTAGGTACTTAAGTATGAAGTTATATTTCTATAAAATTCTATGGCAGACTACATACAAATATCAATATACAATTATGAACAATATGTTATGTAGATCAGAAAAGTTTATACTAAAGCCATGGCAAGACGTGCTAATTATATCTTGAACGTCATGTTCACAACCATTCCATACGCTCCCATATACCTAGTCTATATTTAATGACCACAATATAATCACAACATATTTGGATCAAAAAAGCTCAGAAAAACTATTTTGTAGTATCGTGCTATCTTTAATTCTTTAATAGGGTAGTATTACATGCCAGTTAATTTTGCTTCAGAATGTTCATCACACATCGATTTTTTTAACAGATATTATTCAAACATTGAACGTTAATTCAAAAAAAAAAAATAACCAAAAAAACTATAAAGCGCTCAACTTGCACCCTTTTTTATAAGTGAATTAAAAAAAAAATCAACTCAATTTATATAGTTATTTTAATGATGAATTACGTGAAATTACAGTTATGAGAAAATGAGCTATAGATATCTCCCAATTTTTGTTGTATGATGTATGATGAATTTCATTAAGATAAACCTATTTCATTTTTAAATAGATCCACCAATTGTTTTTCTTAATAAAATACGAAAGAAGGAGTCAAGTACGTATAAAAGCATGATGTAAGTACGCCCGTATGAGATGAATAGTTGCCAGCGTTGCTGCATATGAGTGATCCTCCCACCTCTCCTAACTTTCACCCCACTAACTGTGATGAACGTCTTTACGTCGAAAAATCTCTTACTCACAAATGAAAAAAAAGTAAGAGAATAAAATGCAATAACAATCAATAAATGCATTCATAGAAATCTGAATAAATAAACCGTTAGTGAAAACAGATGAAAAAGTGTAAAACTGTTTAAAAAATTTCTAAAAATTTTGAAAAATGAAAAAAATTGTCTTAACAATTATTTCTTAACAGTAGAATTAGCAAATTACTGATAAATTAATAAATATTTATGAATATGTAGAAAAACTGCGGCTAAAGTATACTACTTTCTTAGGTTAGAAAAAAATTATTTTTCTAAAGAAAAGTAGTTGATTTAACAAATAATATAATAATTAATTAAATTAACATTTAACCAAATAAATCAATAGACAGTAAGTAAATATTTAAATTATCAGTCAATTATGAATCACACTATAACAAGAAGCAGTCTAATCTGTTATACAGGGACCACCCATAACACAGTGGGTAAGGTGACAGGCTTATGTGCAGGAGATGGCTAGCTGTGTTTTTTTCAAAATGTTTGTAAGCTTATTACTTAAAAAATACTAATTAAAATTTAATAAAATTTATAATGTGTGCTGTAGTGTTATGACACGGCGTGGCGTGGCGTAGTATGATGTGGATAAGACCAGCTCAGAAGCGTGTTGCAGGGGGAATACAGTAAAAAAAAATTTACTTCGGAGAAAAGAGATCGGATTCATTCTGTTCTCGGTTACTAGTTGAACTTGTCCGATAAGATATTATAGACGCATCATAAGTAATCGTATAAAGAGCAAGCATCAGTCGTATACGCCTACAACTTTTATCACTAGCGCCGTACTAATCGATTCAGATAGTGGTCAAGAATGAAGTAAGTTCGATCCCTTACTTATAACTCCTTATTTATCCCAATATTTTAATATATGTACACTCTAAAGTTTTGTACACATGCATACAAAATATATTATATGTAAAATTGTAGTCATACCGTATAAGATCAATAAAAGTCTAACACCTTTACACTGAAAAATAAATACATTTTGGAAGTTCTTAAAAAAGTGAGAAAATGATACACAGACCCTCGGCACATGTTTCATTACCGTAAATCTCAAATTATAAAATATTATGGGTTACAGGTGACTTAGGAAAATATTTCAATGTAAAGATATAAAATCAAATAAGATAAGAAATTTCGTAAAGTATTGACTTTTGATATTGTAATTCTTAAGTAACCCCTATTTATAAAACTAATCAGGATTTAATGTGATCATCTTTTATGTTAAAAAAAAATAAATGTAAGAAGACAAAATCCGAGATGTGATATGGCACATTGTATAGAGCTGTTATTCTTTGTATTTGTCACAATGTAAACTTGTGTATACGTATGTAATACTGGTTGTGAACTCTGTTAGGGCAAAATGTGGTGTAGAAAATAACTTCTAATTGGTGGGATAGCCTAATTAATCTTTTTTGTTGAGAAGTATAACACAGCGTATAAAAGACTTAAAGTAATTGCTCACTTTGGCCTGTTAAATACGTAATACGTGAAGTAGTATATTTTGCCATCAGTTTTTATACGGTTCCTTAATAAAAACTATAAAGAAATGCATACTCCATCATCGTATTTCACAACATTTATTACGTACCATGCATGATGCAGATCTAATAATGATATCAGAACACGTATCAAGAACACAATGTAACATTAAACGATAAAATGAGCAAATTTTTAACGAAGGAACTATTATCGAGGCTCTATTCTTTGATGCTACCATTTGTTCCCTTAAATTTTTTTCGTGTATGTAAGATTTTTGGTTGAAATATTTTTAATACACTAGCTTATCATGCGTCATTATAAATACAAAATAAATTCATGGATTAATAAATAATGTGTACGTCTTAAAGTACATGTTCACGGCAATTGTGAACTTTTAATTTTCTTTCTTAATTTCTATGTTTCCTTGACAAAATTCGTTTCATGTAATAGTTAGATTCTCTAGAATTGTAATAGCTGTAACTTTGCTTTATTATCTAAAGTTATCACTTATTAATTTTATAACTTTTACTTTACATTGATACATACTTTAATTTGAGAACTTATATCTCCTTATCTAATCTCTATATTCTACTGTGACTCCTAACGTTGAATACAGAGTAAATGTTAGCCAATATAAGGTAAATAATTTTGATACTGATAACGACTACTTGTGTGTATTTGTATAAAGTTAATTTTAGTTATTCTTTTCGCTATTAATGTAATAAATTTAGACAGGTCTCAACTAGCAAAGAGCGAACATTAATTACTTTGGCTTGACCATAACAGTACATATAAACCAACCGAATAAATATTAGACTCACAGGAGTTCGAGAATAGAAGTACAATAATTACTACGCGAGGTATGTCTGGGATGGATAATGAAAACAAAAAATAACTTACTGATTTCATCAATAAAAATTTTAACCATGGATTATGTAATGCAGAAAAATTTGCTATTATAGTAAATCAGCTGATCAATAAAAATGTAATCGAATCACAATAAAATATTTTGAAAAACATTCTTAAATTCGATTATATCTCTGAAACCATCTTTAGACCCTTAAATATTGGACTGTCTACACGCAAAAATGTAAACGATTTGAAATTACATCATTCATCGTAAAATATGATTCACAACGAATAGTGTACACATTTTGACAGTAACTTGTACACAATTTTGAGTAGTCCTTCAGTAAAATATATAATCACTTCAGATGTAGTTGATAAAATAACTTCTGCTGAAATTTTAGACACCATTACAAGTCTGCATTTGCATGAAATCATTAAGAGCAATGTAATGTATAGGCCTTAAGGTGACTATCTTCAACGGCAAATGTTTAAAAAACTTTGCTACAAAATTTTAAGACATTACTACTATGTATGAAGAAGGATATTTTTACCATTACCACAGGACTACAGGTATTACTTACACATCTTCTTCTGATTTCAAAGCTGAAAATCGCTTGATTGTTTGGGATAATTCTACACTACTAGATATATTTAACTGTCAAAAATCTGTGGAAATAACTTTAGTATTTTAGTATTTTAGCTCTTCGATAAACACATAAATATCAAGTAGCGTGGTCACTCTATATGCAAGTTTGAGCAGACGATGCATGGCACCATGCCATTGCATACGCCTTAATTCTGCTCTTCAATTATCAAAATTTAAAAGAAAATAGCTAACACCATTGTACTCTTGATGTTTTGAAATTATCATGTCTTATTAGCGTTAAACTACAGCTTCCAAAAAATTCTGTTAAGAACAGCCTTTTAATATCGTTATTATGATGCTCCAATGTGTCATCCTGACTGGCTGAAACTTTCGGACCCTAAAGTTAGCTACAAGTGAATGAGTATGATGGCAGACACAACACACACAAAGAGACAGAGACCAAAATCGACTGTCTTGAAGTCAGCTTGAAGCAATGTTGTTTAATTTATGCGTATACAGGTCATTATACTCAAAATAGCATATTTTATGTCCCAGTCAATTACATAGTCTTTGAAGGAGATATTGATCTGGAAATTTTTTTAATTATTCAAAGGATATTTACTGCTGAAGGTAAAACAAAATTCAGGTCATAAAAGAGTGTTCCT